TAGATAATATTACTAGTTTAAAGGCAAATAATTTTTTTCTTGTTATTTAAAGTCTTAAAATTTATATATATGTAGATATTTATAAGTTTGATTTGGTAACTCTTATAAGGGAAATACAATCCGGAATTTCTTTGCCACACGCCGCTGTTATAGGGCCCCTAAACCACACAAAAACATTGCGCAATACCGGGCTTGCGTCGGTCGTTTGTACTAAATTGCACAGTTATTTAGCTAAAATCAAAATCATTTTGATATTTTGCTCATGCTTGTGTTATTGTACAATAATCGTGCTATAAAATATGGATAAGATCGTAAAAAAACTAAAATTTTTTTTTAATACCCTTTTTCTCGTTTTAAAGCTGAAACTATCAAAATATACAATGCGCATTGTTGCACATATTTACTTGATATAAAATAGTTTTTCGTTATGCAAATAAGCATACAAATTCTCTGATTTTGTTAATGCAAGTAATTTAAATTTTTTTGTTACTATGGATTTAATTATACAATTTTATTTATTTGTTTTTCAAATGCAAGTTTAACAAATAACAGTTTTGATTACTTTTGATACTTTTTCTGCTCGGCAACTGATACTTTTTTTCAAGCTCGCGGCAACGCTGGCAGTCAGCTGTGTGAAAATACATAAACAAGACATGTGAATACGATTGCAGGAAATTTTAAATAAAAGTCAAAAGTCGTCGAATTATGAATTAAGTTCGGAAAAATATGATCAAAAAGATTACATCGCGTTTGTTTAAGGTATTTATGCAATAATATTAATAATTAGCAATGCATATCATCAATTTTCTTTCCAGCCACAGACATTACTTGGTACAATTTGTTGAGAGATCTCCAAAATGCGTGATCGCCTCTACAATTAAGAATAATTACTATGTAGATGGCTGAGTTAATTTTGGAGCGTACTTGCAGACTCGATAAGCGCAATTAAATCAATAATGCAGGTACCGGAGCCGCTTTTGGTGGAGCAAATAAAATGCATTTAAGAACTACCTCACCACATCTCTTTTAAATCCACAAATGTTACCGAATTCGCAAATGACTGAACGTGAGACTCGTTGTTGCAGAAGCAAACACCTTCGCTCTTTCAAGAAATTGTATCCTGAGAAATTATACTTTTAAACAAATGCTTCAGTGGAGAATTTTCATTGTTATTTATTAATTTATTCCTGTATTTGAAACTACAATGAAAACATGAATTCATTAGTGTGTGTACATACATACAAACATATATGTACATCTGTAAAAAACAAACTAAATAAAAAAAATACTCTTCCGGTTTAGTTTAAAAAAACTGAAAATAGTGATTGACAATGGCACAGTTTTGGCATTAAGTTTGTAAATTATCTTGATATTTGCTTGATATTATGTGTATGGGTATTCATTTACAGCTGTGTTCATAAGTGTTTACAAGCGAGTGTTCATGAATTAATCCTACCATACAACTTACATACAGTCACTCACAAAAGTTTTTGTAATTTAGTTTTTTCACAATATTCAAAATGTTATACATCATTATTCTTTCTCTATAATTTTCATTTAAAATATAACTCATTCTGTAACAAAAACTGCAAAAATAATTTTCGGAAACTTTTTAACGAAAAAAGATTTATGATGGAAAGCATTTTGAATATTCTGAAAAAACTAAATTACGGATACTTCTGTGAGTGACTGTATGTATATACGCAGTGTGAGTTTATTTGTTATTTAACCTTAATAGTAAAATAGTTTCGGTCAAATCATCACTTAAATTTGACCTGTAGTCGTTTACAATGTATTTAAGTGTAGAAAATGCACGCTCTACACTCACTTGCGTTGCCGGAGTTGCATGGATAACTTGGGAAAGCTGATACAAGTTTTTGTGTGTATATTTCTTTCGTTCCCAAAAGGCAGCTAAATTTTCTTTTGTGTCTGTTGATTCATTGAATGATTCAATAGCTGAATATCCTTCTAAAATGCATGAATCGTTGGATGTAGTTGAACTTATTTGATTTAGAAGTTCTCCAAGCAAATCTGTATCCTCACTATTGTCCTCGCTTTCTATTGTAACACTGATGTCTTGTCCGAGCTGTAAAAAGTTATGCATTTTTTTTTAATTTTGAGGAATTTACAAACATTACTATGGCTATTACCTGTGTAGACAGAGCACTAACTTTCAAATGTAACGCTTTCAGATGTTCAATGGCTACTAGTCTCATATGCGAGAATTCCAAACTTTTCAACAAACGATGTAGCCTAGGGTCTAGGTAAATAGCTGCAGCCACTGTTGGATTACCAAGTAAATTTTTTTTTCGTTCGTTTATTGAATTGAACAATAGTTTTGAAATGTTTGAGTGCTCGGAGCCTTTTTTTACCGTTAAGCAAGTTTCTAAAAAGAATTTTATAAAGTCGCCGAAAAGTAAGTTGTGATTTTGAAGCATTTCCGTCACCACTTTCATAACAGAAAAGCTTTTTAAAAAATCGTCTACAAAATCCCAGTCTATGGTTTGATTTTCAAAATTGTTTTTGATGAATTCTTGAAGCATTTTTAAGCGTTGTACTAAATTGTACGAGTAGCTCCAACGTGGTGGGCATTCAGCAATTGGTGGTGGCAAGTTAAACTTGACTAGAATTCGATGCATTGCTGGTGTGCGGAGCTTTTTTGCAATTGCACGGCATTCTTCAAACATGTGTTTTACATCTGCATGTTTGAAAACATCGTGCACACTCAACTGCAAAGTGTGCGCGACACATCTTATAACAGAGAGAGTATCTGAAATAAAATGGTTTATTATAAAAGTATGTTCATTAACTATACGCCTTACTGAAGTGAGTAGCCATGCAATTATCAAACAGCGGATCGTCGAAAATATTATCACATGGAATAAAATCCATATTTTCTTCGGCTTCATCCTCGTCATGGTCAAACGTGCTTTCGACATGTTCAGCCTCGTTCTGTAAAAGCGTACCACATCTTATCATATTCCGTCCGTTGTCGCTTGTAATGCTGTATATTTGCTCGATACAAATATCATATCTGCAAACGTTAAACATTAAAGAGCTTCAAATAAATATGTGTACCTACTTTTCTAAGGTCTCCAAAATTATTTGTTTTAAATTGTGTGCTGTATGCTTTTCTGTGAAATTTTTCACGGAAAGGGTTTTAACAACTATTTCTCCCTTATCTAATAGTTGCGCATTAACACATACAACATTGCGGTAAAAACGTTGAGCACTATCAATTTTTATGGAAAAAACTCGATTTTTGAAAAATTGTTTTAAACGGTCGATTTCGATTTGCATTTGTTTTTTCAAAATATGTTGTATATTGTTTCTGTTAATTTTATGTAGCCCAACTTGCTCACAAATGGGGCCTAATAACTTTTGGAAAGCGTTGCTATTGAAAACTCGCAAGGGAAGGCCACATTCAGTTACAAAAGCAGCACACAAGTTTTCAACGTCGTTCTTGGACATCTGTAACAGGATTTTATATTTTATATCTTCTTGAATGGTCTTCATTTCCATGCATGCATTATGCTCGCTGTATTCGTTTTTATGCTTTCGGAATAGATGCGACTTTAGATTTCCCAGGTGATCAGTAGAAAGGTTCTGACCACATATTTTGCATGTCATTTTTCCATCTATATTTGCCGTATAAAAGTGACGAATTGCATTGTCCCGCTTTGTTCTCATTGTCAGTTATTTCTTTTTACGGTTTTTTTTTTTAATTATGATGTATTAAATCAACCGAAGCTTATATCGTGAGCCTTCGTGTAAATACAAAGCTCATCGTGTTTTGTTGAAGCGTTGCCAGCACAGTGTGAAATTAACGTTAACGCTAATTTTTTAACGTTTCAACATTAACGCTTTGATTTCGTTTTGATAACATGGCGCCGAAACGTAACAAAATCTTTTTGTTAAGTTAATTTTGCTTTTTAACGAAACGAAATGGTATCGTTTCGTTTGTTGAGCATCCTTGGATCATACTGATATTGACTTCGGCAAACCTGTACTCCGAATCAGTGATCGGACTTCTACCACATTGTGGTAGATCTGCCACTTTTTTGAGCATCTACCGAGAAGATGCAAACAACAACTGGAAACTATTGAGTGTCGGAACTTAACAGATTTAGAAGGTTTTAACCACGGAATCCACTTTTTGCAGATTTTTTGGTGGTTGATTCTGTTAAATTCACTGTTATCGGCACAAAATAATGTCTAGCAACATGTATATTGATATACTCCGTGTTGCAGGGTAGTAAATCGGAATTTTGAGATATTTTTACTTAATATTGCCAATTTTTAATAATTTTTTTAAATTTTGCTTTTTTATATGCAAAACAATTATAATGATAAGAAGCTAAAGTTTTGAGCGATAAAGCAAATATAGAACCGGAATTGTTTGATGCAAAACCATTCCGATTAATTGATGCCAAATACCATTTGCATAGGTATTTTACATATTCCATAGATTGTTATTTTTTTTAGTACTTTTTTGGTATATTTATCTTTAAAAAAAATATATTTGGCAAAAAGAAAAAATCGAAATCATTGAAAAAATTATGTACATGCCACTGAATAAATGAATCGAAACTGAAAGTTTTTACAAAGAAGTTTTTATTAATTTTTCGCAAATACATATATGTATGTAGGTATGTGGCTATGAAATATTTTTCCGTAACTACAATTTCATCGAAGCATATTACGCTGCCCGACCTCTTATGGGATTTTTTATGCATATATTTTATAAATACAAATCAATTTATAAAATATACCCCAAAGGTCAAGATAAAATAAAAAAAGGAAAATTTAATTACTTTAATAAAATAGAAACGAAAAAAAAAATTCTCCAACTGGGATTTGATCCCCAGCAAAAATGCAACACGCGAAAATAATCCTGCGCCTCTAGCGCATCCACCACACAACACATTGAAATTCGAGCGCCTAAGCAGTGTTTTATGATGTCGTTCAATTTCATGCGCAAGCTTACGACGCTCAAATTTCGTGGAATTTTGTGTGCAGAAAACCACCATTGTTTTGCCAAATTTTATTAGTTGATGAATATTTTGATGTTTAATGAAGAAATTGAATATTATCTATCAACATTGAAGAAATATTAAATTAAATGGTTATGATCATATGTTTAAATTAATATTTACTTGTGAATAATACATAGATATAAATGTGCATATGTACAGGTAACAAACTATGTACATACCAGGGAATGGCATTGGTTGATCGTCAACTGTTCATACTCATTCAATACCGCTGCTTTGTATGACTGAGCAGCGGCGTTGGCTTAGTAGTATCGATACCTAAACGAAATTAGAGGATGACTGAACACGAGCGCATTGCGTGCTGTCTTGCAAATACAGCCACCACAAGTGAACGATGCTTATAACTGCTCATACTGATATTGACTTCGGCAAATCTGTACTCTGAATGATCGTGCACGAAACCAGCAAACGTGGCACGTGAACGGCTCCGAAAACATGAGAGTCATCATTTGTTGCAGAAGTCGTTTGACTTGTTGCTGAAAATCATCTGACTTGTTGCTGAAAGCCATTTGACTTGTTGCTGAAAATCATCTGACTTGTTGCTGAAAATCATCTGA